TCGTTGGATTCGTCTTGACACAGAATACAAATGGGAACGTTACCAATTACGAAACAGTCACATTTACTTCGTTAATTATGCGTAAAAAACATTTTTTAAATCGTTCTGTTATACAATTTTTCATGGATTATTCCACAGCAAACGACAAATTACACAAAAATCCATATTTTATCAAAATGTCTCATTTCATTTATTTCCATATTAGTCCAGGCCACGGTGGTATAGACCACCGTATACCACCGTGGTCCAGACTAAAAAGCTAGCTGCTAAAATAATTTATTTAAAAAAAAAATTAGTTACGGGGCAAAACCGGGTTTTTCAGGCAGGTGAAATGATTATAAATTGGGGAAAAATAATTAAAACAGCTAAATTTTTCGGCGGGTGAAATCCCGGGAATTGAAAGGGGTGGAAAGCGGTACATATTTTGCAAATTGTGGGAAAGCAATTAATTTTAGACGAAAATGGTCAATACAAAAGTTATAGAGAATAAAAAAATGAACAGCTTTTGTATCTGCACTATTTTCACATAACCAGCATAACCTCCAGTTTTCCTAGAAAATCCGGAAAAATCGTTTTTTTCGTTTGAAATTTGGAGGAAACATAGCTTGTTTTATTATAAAAAAGGAGAGATTTTTGGGACCGTAAAGTTGAACCGTTTCCGAGATCTCACAAAAAACCACCTCTTTTTCAAGGAGATGAAAAATCTATCATGAAGTTTATTCCAGGTTTTATATCTCAATTCTCAAATCATTTATTGTTTTGGCCGGTAAAACAGACGTTCTTATAGGGAATTTTATTTTGCAAGTTTATCAACAAGCCCAACGCAATTGCATCAGCTGTAAAACATAGCCAGGAAGAAGAGTAAGTGAACAAAAACAAATTGTTCAGGAAGCGATTTTACTTCGAATTGCTTTTATTGTGGTAAAAATGCAGAAAAAAGAAATAATAAAGATGTTTTAACTAAAACGTTGAGCATAAGGAAACAAAAGACAATATTTTAGCAAACATTAAAGATAAGCAAGAAGATAGATTTCGAAAAAATCTTTATTAACATCCAAAACGTTCATTGATCATGTCAAAAATCATGTATATCTTAAATCTGTTTTTCCAGTTTTTGGCGATTTTCTAGAAGTTTTTCTATAGGAATAATAATTTTTATTTTTGTTTATTAAAATATAAGTCTTCCCTAAAATTTTACTACCCCCCGCACCTCTGTGCGATGAAAAAAAATAGATTTTTCATCTCCTTGAAAAAGATGTGTTTTTTTCAGAAATCGTGATATCTCGGAAACGGTTCAATTTTCCGGTCCCAAAAAAATTGTCTCCTTGTTTGTAGCTACGTTTCCTACAAATTTCAAACCTTTACGACTTTTTTTCGCAAAAGTAAGAACAAAAAACGAAAAAAGGTTTTTCCGGTTTTTCTAGGAAAATTAGAGGTAAGTAATGTGAAAATAGCGCAGATAGAAAAGTTGTTCATTTTATTCTCTATAACTGTTACATTGAACATTTTCGCCCGAAATTAATATGTACCTATTACCACAAATTGCCAAGTACCACTTTCCACCCCTTTCAACCTCCGGGATTTCACCCGCGGAAAAATTCAGCTGTTTTAATTATTTTTCCCCAATTTCTGATCATTTACATCATATCCATATTACAATAAATCATAGTCGCGCAGGCCTTGGTTGGAGGAATTCGTTGACGTGATGGTATGAGTCGAGGTATGAGTTGTTGGTGAAAATGTGAAAAATTCACCGACTTGACTTTTAAATTTTTTGGCCGACGTAGGCGTCCGCAATTCTTGTGGAAAATGGTAGAACAGTTTGATCGCCATGCACCTGGGGGAATCCTCGAATAGTGTTGTGTGGTGTGATACAAAGTCGCACAGAATTGCAGAATTTTATGCTGATTAATTTTCCCTTTCGGAGTTTCTTGTAGCTTTACAAATAACGAACTTATGGTCAAAAACCGAAAAATGTTTAGAAAATGCGGTGGCGTTCATTTATTTTCAAAGATACGAACAAATAACCATTAACAAAACCCTTAGTAATTTTTTCTCATCTTGCTAATGGTGCTAACTTAAAATTTTCATGACTTGTGGGTTTCGACTAAATCACATAAACTTTTTTATGTCACATTGGATCTTTACGTCACTCGATCGAGATATTAAATTACAATGTGATCCAGTGATGGACATTTCCAGTAGGTAATTCCGTATTAGGTTTAGTAGGTGGTGGTTGAACCTTGGACATATCAAAATTCAAAATAGACTCAATAGAGTTGAATAGACCGCTAACCATAGATTTTCCTTTGATAAAGCAATGAAGCGATGTATGGAGAAGATAAAATTTCTCAAAGCAGCTAACAAGTCGCGTAACCATGCATGTTTCCAAAATTTTGGGAAAAACGGAAACTATTAAATATAATAGGTCGATAGTTTCTTAGATACCCATATCCACAGACCACAAATGCTCCCAATTATCACGAAACACGATACGAAAGAGACATCGCGTTTTAATTATTGTTTATTGTGCAACCATGCAACTTAAAAGATTTAGCGTAGATTGCCGGATGAGGTCAAATTAAATTCTCTGGTAATCAAATCAAAATATAGGAATCTACAGTAGGTTATTAAGCAAAACAAAAGGTCAATATACCCCGATTAAAGGCTATTTTGCCGAATATTGCAAATATCTGGGTTTTATGTCTTCAATTAATAAATATTTATGGCCCCCCATTATGTAGATAGGTATTTAAACATGTCTTCATTCAATAATATAACCCTTTTTTTTTAATTCTTGGCGCGCACATATTATAAATAATAATATCCAGTCACAATGTAGACGCAAGTTATGAAAATAAAAACCATTTTGCTGGCTGCGCAATTTATAGGTATGCAATGCGTGGGACGTACGACATGTATACAGTTACATAATTATATCATAAAAAGCTTGGTACTCGCGAGCTTTTAATTGCGTAGGTTTGAATCCTAGACGGAAAATAAATACACTATTCTGGAATTAAGAGGGAGACACTTGATGCATTCAATGGCCATCTATATTCAAGGATAGTCCCTAGCCGATAAAAATTTACACAGCGCGGTATCTCTAAACGTTATTTACTCTATGGTTTTAGTTAATCTAATATAGGTATATTTAGGTATAGACAATTATGTATATATAAATAAATGCGCAAATTATATATATAAACGTTCAAAAACTTCCATATATCAACCAAATAATAATATTTTTAAGAAAAGAAACATATTTTACGGGTACATAATTATGACACAAACGGCGCCCCATAGAAATTAGCGGTAGCGAAATAAGGCAAAAGTGTTACGCAGTTTGCAATCACGAAAAAATATGTTGTTTGTGCGATCTTCGTGTGAAAGTTGTTGTAAAACGGTTCAGTTTAATGTACCTGTTATTGAAATTGTTCTTCCAAGGGCTTTAAATAAACTCCTCTATGCATAAGAAGTTACGAATTGCAAAAATAAATGTTTTCTGTTCATTGAGCATGATGTGTTGCCTACAAACCCGGCTACACAAATATCGAGTGCTCATATTCAAATTAGGGATTTGCTTGAATCTCCCCAATCTGCCGTTTTTATTGAGGGTAAGGAGGGCCTCCACGAACGAATGGCCCAGGGCCCCGAAAATCTTAAAAACGGCACTGCATTTAATGAATAATAAGTGCAACGTTGCTATTAATCGCATAAATTCAAATAAAATTTTACAAGAAGGTGCGTACGTGGCGACATCTCAACTAGACTTCTAAAACTATAATTGATAGAAAGTGTATCGATTGCCATGGAGATGGCGCACTAGTACTTATTGTATTTAATCTATCTATTCAAAAACCGGGCCTTTAAACTACAATTATTGCTCTACAGATTTTGCAAGACTCCGTACAATTTGAACTGCCATTTGAGGAACAATAAATAAATAAAATAAATAGATACCAGCTACAAAATACATATTTATACTATTTGTGCAAATCCTACAATGGCAGGGTTGGCAATAACGCCAGGAAAATTTGTTTCCTTTTTTCTTTTTCAAAATATGGCACAGCCCACGACGTTACCCCTAAAAAAAGATTAAAAAAACATTTTAAGAAATCCCTACAACAGATTTTTATGAGATAGACGACTGGGATTCACAAAAGTTACACTACAATTTTAAACAGATGGATGATGAGCAAAATTCCGAGATTACCCATAAATATCATACTTAGATGGAACAGTATTATGTAATTACAGGATAATTAGCGTAACAATTTTCTCGTTTTGATAACAGGAGAATAATTTACCAAATGTACATGGGTATTTACATATTAATGATTTTTAATGATAGTTTACATATTGATCCTTACACTAAAAAATAAAGGTTGATAGATAACTCTTTATTTATAATTTAACATCGCATATATAATTCTGTAAATAATTAAGTATACGCTAAACAATTGGAAAATTTAGCACCACTCGCATATCTACGGAAATTTATAAATAAGAACGTATAGCTGCAAAATTCCAAAGGAATATGTCTAAAATCGAGTAGATTATTGTATTAAGTTCAATGTGGTGTATTTCGTTTTTTTGTCTCATACTCGCTACTCTCAACATTGCATTTTGTAACAGTGCAATATCAAAAAAAACCTGCTCAGGATAAATAAATTCATTTAATAGGCGAAACCCCCGCACCAGGAGGCTGTTAAATCTTTATTTCCTATTCTAAGTAGAGATATGAATTCTGGTACAGTAAGATCACGCTTACACTTTTGTATTCGCTTCATTCTTCCGATTGTGATTGACTGGTAGCTGCAGTGTCGCCTCCTATGACAAGGGAATTACATTTATCGTGACCTTACTGCGTTGTTTTCTAAAACCTTCATCGTAGCTACAAAGGCTTAGCATTATTGCCGTTCTATTATAAGGTATCTAATTAAGTAGGTACATAAATTAAATTTATTTCTAATCGGTGTGACTGTGACTATTTCTACCTAAAACATTACCGTTCGTGTTAGGCATCTCCACTTCACAACACAATGTACTTTTTACTTTTGTAGCCCAAAATTTGGTTAATAAAAATGCAGCGATTAAACAGTATAATTTACATAGTAATGGACAGAGCAGCGCCTGGTGAAGTACTGCGAATATTCTGTAGTATGGACCTTCGAATGGATCTAAAATGGCCGGACACAACATATGATTCAAGTTCACCATCGTAGGCTGAAAACGAGCAAATAAGTTATGGGTAAGCCGATTATCGGGTAACTTACAACTGCGATTGATTGTAGTACAAGGAAGTGATAAACAATGTTGAAACTCAAGCTCATGGCGTTCCAACTAAAATCCGAATATTTTTCAATGTTATATACTCCTGAAACGAATCAAGTAGGGGACGATTTTTAAATAAGCTCGCGATTTACCTCCTAGTCGTAAGAGATAATAAGGCACAACAAACATTAATCCATGCTGAATCCAGTAGATGGATGCTTCTAGTGGTAGCTGAAACATTAAAAAAAAGGCATTAGTTTATAACAATTGCATTCAGTTCACATATGCAAAAACGCGAAATTGTTGTCAATATTAATTGAACATAGAGTACCGTCTTACGAGTATTCTAGAATACTCTCGAACAAGCACATCATATTTCACGGAAAAATTGCGTCACATATTATTTATCGCCGCTATGGCCACGCCACGATGTCTATCGGGATTTCTGGAATATTCTCTACAATAGTATCAACGAGTTTCTTGGGCGATGGATGAGCATCAGGCATATGAATCGACACCCTGCTCGATAGAAAAGGCAGGGAGGGGAGTAGATGCATAGGAATTTACTAGTGACATGAAAGGTCGCGGGGGAGGACAATAGGACGAGACAAGAAGGGATGAATATACATTGGATAACACTAGAAATGATAAGAAAAAATGCGGGAAAGTAGGAAATGCAAAACATTGAGGAAGAAGGGAAAGCGCATAGAAGACTAAACGATGAGCTAAGAGTAGACGTTAATAAGGCAAAGGAGAAATAGCTAGAATGGGAGTGTAAAGGGATTGAAATGTTTGGATGTTGTTATTGTGTACAAGGAAACAAAAAATTAAGATAGAAAGTTTAAAGTTTAAAGGAGTACAATTTATAGTCGGAACAGAGCAGTGATGCAACGGAAGTAAAAGCGGAAACAGAAGACCAAATGTATTTTTTTGCGGAAGCGGAAGCAGAAGTGTAAATACTATTAGAAATTTGATAAAAACTTGAATAGTCGCGACACGTCTGACGGTTGCGGCTCGCGCAACGTGTCGTCCCGTTCGGCCAATCAGAGCGCACCTTCCATATTTGCGGTATACTACTGTTATAAAATAGCGAAATTGGAGGCGGAAGCGGAAGTGAACAAATATACAGAACTTGTGCACTTGCGGAAGCAGAGGTTTGTCGCCATCACTGGAACAAAGTCACCGAGTGACCAGGAAAACGTATGAGGCGGGGCCCAAATAAGATTTTATCACTTTTTGGGGTCGAAGATATTTTTTTGGGGAATTCGCACACATTTTTTCCACCTTTTACGGGTTTTAAGCGTGAATTCGGCGTATATTTCTTGATACCGCACCGCATACTTTTTGATTTGGTGGGGCAGAGAGCTACCGCGCTCCTTAATGGTACAGCAAATAAAGAGCGTCTTGCCGTCTTCGAGAAAATTTTGAAAGGGGCCCGAAACCGACTCAGTTTCTCTCTGACTACGAGACTGCCCTTGCCCAATTTATGTGTGGTATAAACGTGCGGATTAATATTTACTACGAAACGTCAATCAACATATTCTATACTCTATACAGGGTGTCAATTATGAGGGGATATATATCTCGGTAAATATGGAATGTATACAACATTTTTCTATATAAAAGATTTCTCATAACAAGGTAGCATTCAGTTGTTTTTCTTTCAGAAAACAAATGAGTAACGAAAAACAATTGAAATTTTTTAAATGGCTCATTTGATGGAGATTTTTTTTCTCTTTTCGATGATGTAACATGAAAACTTTTCAAAAAAACTTATTATAATAACATTGTAATAAACATTGTTCAGAAAATTACGGCAATGACTTAGCCACATTTTAGAAAATGACCTTCAAAAAACGATTCGCCTGCCAAAAATGCCAGAAAATACAAATTACAAATATGATCTGGCTCAAAGGACCACATGACTCAGTGCTATAAAGTAATAAACGACAAGTTCGACCGTTGGATACTTACAATTCGTGTATCCGTCTCTGGAAAAATGAAAGCTAACAGTGGTCCATTAAGAAAGTTCAATTGAATTCTAAATACGGCCGTTACCATATCGCTAGGCGACGCAGCTAATAAATATATCTGAAAACAAGCAAAAGAATAATTAGAATTAGTTTAATGGAGACGGCAGATACGAAAGTGCATCTACAAGATGCAATTAAATCGTAGATTGTAGCTATACAGTAAACATAATTCGATAAAGGGAGTTTGCTCTCTAAGTCAAACTTCCGCTACATTTGCCAGCCGAGCGTTATTCGGCGAGGAATTTAAATGGCCGCATAAAACCGGGATGAAGATGTTTGAGCAGTTGAGGGCGGGGGAAAGGACGCATTCTCTTAAAATAAAATGTTACATTACTGTTACGTAACGCTTCATAAAATCGTTATATCGTGCCGGTGGGACTCTCCGTAATTACACTTTATTGTTATTAGCACGCATTATCGATTCTACATGGGTATGTTAAGTAAAAATTGACACCTTCTGACCTACTTCTCTCATTTTTACATAATTAATGAAGTAGGCCGTATATTTTTCTTCTCTCTCTCTAAGTCAACAATCCTTAGGATTGGTCTGTGGCAGTTCTCCATCCATCTCGATCTTCAGCCAAACTTTTCAGTGCCAAAAGTAAGAGGTCTACCATTATTTGGTCGATATAAATTGGTTAATCGTTTTTCATATCTTCAGTTCTCTACATCGCAGGACTATGCAGGTACTCTTCATCCACCCCGTTTGATCTCATGCCTTCCTCTTATGCACCCCCTCTCCTTCATCTTCATCCTTTCCGTCCACACTTCATTTCACCCAACCAATTTCTATTTCTGTTGTTAATGGCGTTCGTGATTCTTATTCTTCCCCTGCCTTTCCAATTCATCTTCAAAATCCTTCTCCTTACCCGCATTTCCAAGCTTTCTTCTTTGCAACCGTGCTTCACAACCATATAGCAATACGCCCAGACAGTGGCGGAGTAGCTGCCCACCAAAATTGAGCCCTCCCCCCTCTTCTTTCTCCCATTCGCCAAATTTGGAACACCCTGTAGACATGGCGACGTGCCTTTATGTCACTAAATTGTCTACTGCGTCAACATAATTCTGGAAGCGCCCCAGAAGCGACGGGGCCCCGGTAGGACCCCCCTCCACCCTTATTTACGTCGCCACTGACTTCAGACAAAGTGCCTTTTACAAACAACCAAACTATTTTCTCTACACAATTAGACCACTTTATCCCCATTCTGGTTAAAGGTACCCAAACCTTTGCTCCACTACTTTGTCAATGCTTCCTTCCTCTACTACTAACGGGCGACCAAAAATGAGTGGTGATCCAGTCGTCTTTGGAAGTTCAATTTAAGTCCGATTTTCCATGTAAACAAAAATTCCAAAGGTGACTCGACTGCAACTCATTTTTAATCGCAATCCCCCATTAAAATACTGCAGCAATTTCTTCACAAATTTCCTCTAACTCCTCATCGTCATGATCAGTGGTAAGCATAGAAATTTCAATGAATAGTAAATTCCTGAGACTTCATAAAAGATGACCACGAGAAGTAGTTACATTTTTGATGAGACTGTACGCTGTCCTGTCAAATCGTGAGGTGATGGGGTGGTGGTCATTCGCCTCCTAAGCAAGGGCCATTTAAGTGTCTCAGAAAAAAACTACGATTCCAATGCTAGAAATAATAACTTATTGGCCACTCCTAAGGAGGTGAATGACCACTGCCCCATCACCCCACGATTTGACAGGGCAGAGTACAGCCCCATCAAAAATGTAATTACTTCTCGTGGTCGCCCTCTCTCTTCTCTCAGTACCATTTTCATTCCATTTTCTCATATTTTATCTTTACTAAAGTAAAATTTTCTCATCCCGTTTTCCTTATAGCAATCATATTGAGATCATTCTTGATCAATTCAATTTCATGATTTAATTATTCATTAATTTATAACAGTCTTGTACACAAATTCAAGAACTTTACTAATAATCATTTTGGCATCGATGTTGGAACTTCATTAAACACAATTCGATCTGCTGATTTTCCAATGTGATAGAATGATGGCTCTAAAGCTGAACCCAAGGATACATTAGTGATTCAAGAGGATATGCCCACCCAGAAGGCGAGAATAGAAAATATAATCGAGGAAGAGCTTAGATAAATTATAGTGTATGAACAAGTATGAAGTGGGGAAATTGATGGATGAAGAAATAATGAATCTGAAGCCGCCACAAGTTGAGGAAGATGTATAGTGTGAAACAAAATCAAGGCGAAAGCTGAAAGCAGCTGAAGTGAACCTTGGATATAAGAAAGGATATGTTAGTGATCCAATAAGATCGAAGAAGCCTTGGATAAGTCGAGAAATGATAGCAAAGATTGAAGAGAGAGGAGTTGAGGAAAAAAAAGCTAATGAATCTACCTCCAAATGATTAATGTAATGAAATAGAACAAATTGAGAGGATAAGAGGTTACCTGGAAGAGATCATCAGGAGTTGGAAGACAGGAATGAAAAAGTACTAAAAAAAGAAAAAGAAATTTTAAATCGATGGAGGGGGGTATATGGTAGATCTTTAAAAAACAAATGAAAAACCAAGGCAATTAGAAATGGAAACAGAAGAATCAGAATTAGAAAGAGCAATGAAAGATGAAATCAAGTAAAGCTACGCGGATGGATGAAATTCCAGTGGTGTCTTTAGGAAGAAGGAGTTAACGTCTCTATGTAATGATATGCATATATCGGGAGGATGCTCTGAAGATTTCCTGAAGATACCTCTGGCTCAAAAAGAAAGGAAGGGAAGGACATGCAGAGAAGATATTGTTGAGAGTGTTAAATTGAAGGCTCGTGAGGATAATGGAAGAAGATATGGCAAAAGAGCAGGTCGGATTTAGAAGAAGAGGTGCCATTGAACGTGTAAAAATAATCAGTGAAAGATACACGGAAACAGGAAGGATTCTGAATTGATATTTCGTTCACCTGGTAAAGGCATTTGATTGTGTTTTGTGGGGAAAATTGATACGACATGTTAAAAGAAAAAGGAAGGATATACAGAGTGTTTAAAATTAAGTCGACATTACTAACTTTCTTAGTTGTAGAGTTAGAAATGACCAAAATTGTGTATTTTTATCTACTGAAGCCAAGTATGAAATAAAAAAAACAAAACAATGTCGCATTTTTCAAATAATAATAAAACTGTAACTTTTTTTATATGGAACACCCTGTATATTATTACAGTGTACAATTATTAAATTCCCTACGTAGCCAAAATACTTCAACTAACCAATTATTCAATTATTTGTATTTCGAGATCTAGTTATCCATGAAAATGGCAAAATGACAGTGTTTTGTCTTTACGGTTTTGAATACATTCTTTAACATAGGCATATTTCACCTGTTATTTTTGTTTTGTTATCAACCTACTATAATAGTAAGTACTATTTCCAGTTGTTTTAAATACTATTATGCATTTTTAGCATTTTCACGGATGACTAGATAGAAATGAAAATTGAAAGATCTTGGTTATTTGGTTTTTTGGCTATGGTGCATTAAGCACTTTTGTGGACAATTTAATAAGGTTTTATATGGTGTAATAATATACAGGGTGTTCCATACAAACAAGTTTTTATCTAAAAATTCGATGTTGTTTTGTTTTTTAAATGCTGGAACAGGTAGAAACCTGGAAATACCTAGGTACCATTGTAACAGATGATTGGAGAAGCTAGAAAGAAATAAAGACGCGCATTGGAATGGCGCAAGAAGCATTTTTAAGGAAAAGTAGGATACTGTAGGTACCTCAAGTTGCACATGAATCGAAGGAAAAGAATAGCCAAGGAGTGAAAGGTGGACAGTAGTATTATAAGGCCTGTTCTAACTAAAAAAGTCACTAGAAAATAACTAGGTTTGCAAACGCCCAGAAATATATGGCCGCAAAAAGTCACTAGATGTGAAAAATCCCTAGATTTGAAAGTTACTAAAAAAGTAACTAGGTTTGCTATACGGTCCCGAACCAGAGTTTCCCCTAAGTTACTTTGCGTTCAAGGGGTTTGCAGGAACAAACAGTACTAGGAAGATTTCTGTACAAAACAATTTTGAGAAGGAATAGAATCTGGCTTAGTCATTTGCTAAGAGTATAAGGAGCGAATAGTTTGCTGAAGGGTGTGGTCGAAGAGGTCGTGGTTGGTGTAGAAGACGAGTGAAGGTGGTAGCCGATCTGCTGGCGCCCCGATGTCTGGGGCGCTAACTGCTTGTTCCGGACCCGAATGGAAAACTACGGCGCAATACTTAGTAATCAAGAAGCATTTATTTTACATTTTAAACATGGAATTGTTTATTCACGATCAGTCTTTTATTGATTACGTGCACGAGCACTTTTTCATAATTTCTCAGAGATCGTACTATGAATTGTGTGTCTATGATCGCTTAGCAAACTCGCCCCTAACAGACGTAGCGTGATGCATGCACTCGTTTGCCAACTTTTTACAAAATTTAATAATTTCAAGTCATGCCATTCAAACCGCATGAATCATCTGCAGATGCGTGTTGCGCTTTCATATTATATCGTGTAAAACCTACTCAACATTTCAGAATAATCGTCGGAATTTAAATTGCAAAATTATAAATCTGCATTTGAGTTTGAAGTGCGGACGTGATGAGAGTGTGTGTCACTCGACGCGGAAAAATTTCATCTTTATAATCGCGTAAAACCGGCAGTTGGGGCATATTAAGAGCAGAGATGATTTTTGGTTTCGAGACCGGCAGGTGGCCCTCCAGGTGGTTGAAATGAAAGGGGGAAGGGTGCGTAGTAGTTAGGGAGTAACGTAATAGGGAAAGGGTGCCCCGATACCCTATGTCGTCTATGTTGAGATTTTATCGGTTCTTTTGAAAAGATTATTAGACACGTAAATGAGTAATACACCATTAATACTGAAATATGGTGTGAGAAGAATACAGAACCTCCTTGTCCTCCCCAACTTCTTTCACATTTTTGACTTCTTCACCTGCCTTAGTAAAGAGATTCTTAGCTTCTTTGGCTTCTTCAATTTTACAGTTCTGGATTCAAAGTCCGATCCATTTTTAATTATTTTCGGCTTGATTCCTCGGTCGGATTTTTCGTCTCTTTCAGTTTCTTCGCTCTTTTCTGCTTCTTTCTTCATGACGCTAAGAAAGCTAGTGGCTGTCTAATACAAACGTTCTCTCAGAACCTTAGCTTCTTAAGCACTTCTTCCGGTTCTATAACTTCTCAGATTTCTTCGGCCTTCAGTAAGAATAAATAAGCGAGCATTGTTTTCTGAATGGAATCCATATTTCTGGAGACGAGACATCATATTTAGTTAAATGATTTTTTGCCCTGACTCTTGTTTGATTCGTAAGGGGAGAATTAAACAAACGATTTAGAGATGCCCGCCTGCGCTAATAAGAAGCTATTTTGTAGGCATTTTTTAATTAATAAGGAATAGAGAGTTTTCGGGAAACATTTTAAGGATGTCTAACGTTTTTTTGTGACCTTTCCACTCCCTCACGTTACGCTCAAACCGTCAGTTTATTGAAATGCGCTCTTTTCAACACGTAGTCAACCCACCTTACTTTAATCTGGACAGCTGTGTCGTCGCTAGTGAACAAAAGGGGATTAAACTTGACCCTTGAAATTAGTATATGTAAGTTAATAGTGCTCATACTCGTGTCTAAAGCTCGTTAATGCCAAACGTTCCCGGTCTTCCAATCCATGAGCACAATGATTAACTGTTCTAAAAAACTACACCCTAGAACTTTTGGTTTCGCGGGAGAATTCTATACCGTAGGAAGGTTGTAATCTGCAGCTTCTCTGTATCATTGTAAGGAGACGGCTCCGACCTTAGTATTGTGCTACGAGATCATTCTGTCTACGAGTTTATTGTGTCAAATCAGGGAGTAAATATAACATCATAATTTATGATTGATTAATCAATCCACTTTCGGGGTGCTCTTTTATCGGCTTCCAGGTTAGCAAATTTCCTCGTTTTTTTAGAATCCCTCGAGGCTCTTCGGATCGTTGACTCCAACCTTTTTGGATATCGTCTTCGCTCTTTTCCGGATTCGTCCGCTTTTTTCAACAGGCCAATAAAAAATCCTCGTCCAAACGAGACACACCTCTGAAATTGAATTCCTTCCACCCATTCTATCCCTGCTTCTCTGTGTGAATTTTTTGGCTTTCCATCTTCTTCACTTTTCTTCTCGAATTCTTCAGCTGGTTCGGTCTCTCGAACTTCATCCCTTTCCCAGTCTTCTGCGCCAAGTGAGAAACAAGATACGAAGCGCATAAGATTTTCAGTAGGGGATTTTTGCCGCTCGGCTTGTATTCGGAAACCAGACTTTTAATCCGGCTCATCGATCCTTGAATTAGTCGATGGACGAAGGTTTGACATCGCTGTGTCTTTTCGTTCTCGAGTTAGACGAGGAACAGACGGACAGACAGACGGACAAAACCATCACATAAGGGAAATTTTTTTTCTTTCGAAAAATTACCCTAAAAAGGGGTCCCGTTTATAATTTTGCGGAAGTCTGTTACGCCACTGATGCTCTCCGCTTATGAAACAGTGACTGATAGCAACCAAAGCCAGAATCGCGGATCAGCTAGCCCGCCCGGCTATCGATATACCATGCACTAACCTGATTGGCTCAAGAAGTTGCGGGGGGGGGGGGGTCTTGGTTTGGCCACCTGGAGGAGACAACCTCAGCAAATAACCTAAATCCCAATGGTGAGAGGGCCGGACCGAGGAGGATGCGTGACGGATGGAGGATCAGCAACTATCGGTTGCCGGGCGCCGTTCCGTTGTGGACATCAGTCTAACTCATTGAGCGGCACATGAGGGATGAGGTGCTGAAGCCAATGTGCCTATCAACCATGAAAATCATGTGAACTTGCTATCCACACAGTGGATGTCGCTGAAAGAGCGCACTCCTGTAAGGGGGTAGCTCTAGGGACGTTTTGAGATAATAGATTAAAACTATTATGGAAAGCAAGTTATAACAAAAGTGATTGTAGTACGTGGCAAATTTGAGGCGACCGTATCAGTTGTGATGCAGATCTAGTGGAAATCTGGAAACGAGGACATAAAAAAACCTCACGTAGAAAAGGGCCCACAAAGCTAAAGGGCATAGCAATGTAAGGCACCAAGGTGAGGTAGTGAGAGAAGCATCACGTTCACCTTCAAATCACATTTGGAAAATAACGAGAAAAGCTACAAGGTCCCTGTGGGTCTGTAGGAGAGCAAGGCGCAGTGCAGAGTTGGCCTTGGAATTAAGGGGACAATGAAAACGACCCCTACAGCAGCTATGAAAGCCCTTTTGACCTTAACGGCTGAGAGTCAATAGCGAGAAGGGATCGTTAAAGGTAGGGCACTCGCTCAACTTTCATGAACTCTCTAAAAGAGGAATGCAGCATCTGGGGGGAAGGGGGAAGATAGAATGAATACCCCCCTCAACAAAATATGGCATTTTCTCTATTACACCTAGTACCTCCATGGGAACACCTTTGCGGAAAGGTAATTGTAAAGGTAACTTCTTTGACGTCTTCCTCAAGTTCTTAGATTTTTTCGATAAGTACGACTAGGACCGGCATGGGGCAATGTGGGCCCGGGCCCACAGCGGCAAATTTTTAGGGGCGCCAAAAAACCAAATTTGGGAAATTCTACAGTACTATCGTGGAAAAATAACATAACTTCTTAAGAAATTGGAAGTTGTAATGTTACGTACACTCTTAAACAAACCAACTTAAAAGTAATCATGAAATATGGAGTGATATAACCTCACATTTCGATGAAAGTAAGTAAACTTTGATTCAGATTGTGGCAAATTTAGGGAATTTTGTTGTTGTTGAAAACGCTAAAGTCACTAGATATAGAAGGTACCGCAATCATCCGCCATTTTTGGGCAAATTTGCTGCCAACTTAAAAAAATTGACAAATAAAATCTGAATAGCTGTAATTTTTTATAACCTAACTCACGGCTTCCTATAATTACCAGGCTAAATTGTATGAAATTTGACAACACTGTTTCATTGGCCTATGATTTTATGTCAGTGTCAGTGCAAATTGATGTAAAGTGAGTCTAATAAAATTAATTTTAAAAGCCTCCCAAACGTTGTGTGCCCAGTTGCAATAGCACTTATGCTAGCGACATGAAAGAAAATGGTTAATTCAGTAACACAACAGTAGAGATGGTAGGCCCACTGTTCGGTATTGAATGCGGCGTTGCCAGCTCTTACAGCGGAGCCTGGTAATTATAGGAAGCCGTGTCTAACTTCATAGTACTGGCATGTTTTATAAAAATATATACAGATATCAATGAATAAAGAATACCAGGAAGGAGAATATCAACAATATACGTGCGACCGCGATGGCTTTTGCAAATGGCGGACAGTAGTTTCCTGTTTCAGTGGCGTACCTACCTTACAGTTGTAGAAGGATACAATTATAAAGAATTTTACACGAAAACAATCTAAACCCCCATGTGTCTACTCCGCCTATGACTTTTGTTTAACTAACCTCAAACTACATTCCGATAAAAAATTTGTAAATTTACATGTACTATAATTATAAAAATAATATTGGTATCAATACTTACACATGAAATGTAATTCCCAAACTTTTATTTTTTTCTGTTTTGGAGCAACCACAAGCACAACAACTAACCATTCTTTTTATGTCACTGCAACAAATGACTCATAAGTAGCTTTTGCAAATGGCCGACTTCCGTCACACTCTCTCTCGTATACAACTTGATTAATGCTCCTTCCTGGTATTCTTTATTCATTGACAGATATCTCCAAACAGGTGGAACAATCCCTAACATTAAAGTTACTAGAATCTGGTAACTTCCGCCATTTTTGGGCAAAAATCATGCGTTCTCTCTCTAACACACGATCCCAATGGATTGCGGTACTTTCTATATTTAGTGACTTCAGAATACGCTTAATTAATGTGCCCTCTAGCACTTTTTATCAATTTAATGATCGTATCTGGGGGGCTCAATAACGTCACATCACGCACACTTGAAATTGATGTTTTTTTATGATTTGGAAAAACCTCTTCTGAATTTCACATTGTAAATAATAACCTAAATATATTCTTAAAAGTAAAATTAGATATAGGCCCATCACCTCCTGTAATGATGCGGAAATATTAATAAAATGCTTTTAATTGGCTGGGGTGGGGGGAGGCGGGGATTTCGAGGGGCCCATAGGCGCCAAATATGTAGATCCGGCCCTGAGTACGACCACTTCGCCTTCTTTAGTTTCATCAACCTTTCCGATTCCATTAGTTTTTCGTTCTCCTCGCATCTCTTTTTAAAGCACATCGGTTTCTTAGGCTTTCTCGTTTATCACGACTTATTGGCCTTTGACATTTTTTGACTTCTTCGTCTTCCACATTTCCTGACTTTTTCCGATTCCTAGCATCTCTTGAGTCCTCACGCTTCCTTGATCACCTCGGCGTCTTTTAGCTTCTTTAGATTTGCTCCAACTCTACCGCTCGTTTCGGATTCTTTGAAATCTTAGTTTTTCGTGTTTTTAGGGGAATTTTTCGAAAGAAAAAAAACTCCCCTTATGTGATGGTTTTGTCCGTCTGTCCGTTCCTCGTCTGACTCGAGTACGAAAAGAGACAGCGATGTCAGACCTTCGCCAATCGATTTCTACGAGTTCAAGGATCAGTGCTATTGAATATGAGCCGCATCAAAAGTCTGGTTTCCGAATGCGATCGGAGTGCCAAAAAACTCCCCCTACTGAAACTTTTTTCCCGAATTAGAATTGTTCATTTTTATGCTACAGGGGCTTCAAATATTTCCTATGTTTTATATTATTTTTTTACTACAATAACTAGTTAATTTCGAGTGCAAGTTACGTGTGTACAAACGTGTCTCTGTCACGGTGCTTTGATGTTTAGTTATTTTCTAATTAACACCGAGCGATCAATAAATAATTAAATCGGGTGCGTACCGAATAATACAAAATGAAATGAAGGTAGATGGACACTTACCTGTATTGCTGTAGTAACGTGACAAGGATTTAACAAATATATCACAGTTTTCGAAGAAAACTTATACCCTATTTCCATGCCCCATATTATCGACATTAATACTAGCAGAGCCCTTCGTCCAGATCGGTCCCTGCGAACATAGGCCGCTCTCGGCAGGGAAATCCTATCGTAGCCCCATTTAAATAACCCAATCGCCGCGGAAAGCACTATCACAGTTTCTATCTTTTGCCAGAGCGGACTTAAGTAATTCGCACATTCGGGACCTGCATTGCGTGGCACCGTCGTATTTACACCGTTGAGGGCCCAATCCATTACAAGATCTGAAAGGAGAAAGACACGTTAGCATTTGACACGAGCGCACTACGATACCGCCCCACGTTGGGGACGCCTTTTCGCTGGGGGCACGTGCCGCTGGGGACGAGGCGAGTACAAATTGTATCGCATTTCCCCGGATTTCAATTTTATTTAATATAATGGGGAGTAATTTGTTTGCCCGATGCGAAGACGACGAAAGTAAACAGTCTTCGAATCGATACTTCCTCCTTATTTTTAGCAACAAGATTTTTACCTGTTCCTTAGATCTTGGTGGCAGCAGGTCAGTGTACGAGTTTCCTTGAGATCATTAAAATGGTGAATATTAATGAACCGAACAATAAAACACCGATTAATTGTCCAAAGACCTCGAAACACACTGCCAGCGGCGCAAGTGAGAAGCCACTGACTTCTCTGATAGTGTTATCAGTAAATAAACGAGTAAATGATGCTCATCAAATCAATAATTCGAAGGTTATAAACACATTCACATTTCGAACAATTACAAATAAGTAAACCTTCGCGTCGTTTACTACTCAATACTCCCATATTGTAAACCGGACCGAAACATATTTACTACCTACTTTAATTAATTGACGATAAGAGAACCGATACGTTTCGGTAATTAATGTGGAACTTGTCTATTTACGCAACAAGGGACTCTGCGTTCCTGATACAAATACATATAATACAAATTTTAGAATATGCAAAGGTGTACAAATACGTGGGAAGAATTTCTTGTTTGTCACTGACAACAATGAAAGCATATTTTTAAAAAAATAATGAGAATCGGGATCAGGAGAACATGCGTGAGAAAGTGCCAGACATTTTTCTTACATTTCTGCTTTGTTCTGATCGCCATACAATGATACAATACTTGTGTGACTGTGAATCACTACAAAAATGTATCAGGAGGACATCATTTTAAATATCATCATAAAATTGAAGTAGCAGGAGACATGTACATGTAAAGGTAACAAACTGTCCCTTCCTGCATGCGTATGTTCCGACAATTTTGTAAAAACTTTGACGTCCTAGCATTTCTATTATCTTAATAAGGATTTTTAAAAAAGAAATTTGAATCAGGAAAACATCATACTTACAATAGAATATTCTTTAAATATGAAAGTTGAGTCAGGAGACTACAATACACTTTTTTTGCGTCACTGATTCAACAAATTTTAAAATAAAAAATTTTCATCACGAAGTTCAAACATCAGCTATTGAATAACAGACACTAAAACCTTTGTCTTTTTACGTGCATGTGATCCTGATTTGTTTCAAGAGGATATAATACGAGTGTAAGCTTTCTTGCATCCCTAAGATCCTGACACCACAATTTAAATGAGTTTCCGTCTTCATGCGATTTGTAAAAGGAAAATATGAGAAAATCACATACTACTAACGTTTTGATCTCCTTGCATTCCTGTGGCTCTAATACAATAATTTTTAAATGACAAATTTCAATTAGAAGAACAGAGTTCATCTTACTTTAGTGAGTTTCTGGAATCCTGATACAAAAATTCTTAGAAAAGAAGAATTTCTATTCGGATACGTGAAATTGTGCTCTTGCGTTCGTAGGATCCTGATACCATAATTAAAAAAAAGATTTCTTAAATCAATTTTTAAAAGAAGAAAATATGAATCAGGAGAATATGCTAAGGTGCAGACGATTAATTTTTCACCCCCTTGCATTTCTGTCGATCTGACAATTTTTAAATGAGAAATTGGAACACAATACGTGAAAAATGGCCAGGAACCTTTTACGTTTCTGTGATCCTGATACAAATTTTAGAATATTAAGAGGTTACAATGTCAGATTTTCTTGCGTTACTAAGATCCCGATACTACAATTATTAAAAAAGGTACTCCAAAACAGGCGTTTCGGTCTTTCTGATATAACTTTTTAAAAGAAAAATATGAATCAGGAGAATTTAATATGTGCTAAAGCGTGGAATAAACTTCTTAGCTCCTTATAGTTTTGTAGATCTTGTATAATAATTTCTAAATGAGAAATTTCAATTACGAGAATATAATACGGGAAAAAGTGTCCAACAGTTATTTGTGATAAAAAAATTTCTTATTAGAAGGTGTTCTTGCGTTCTTAGGATCTTAATAACAATCAGGAGAATAATATGCGCGAAGGTCCAAAAAGAATTTTGTTAGCTCCTTGAATTACTGTCGTTCTAATACAATATTTAATACAATATAATAACGTAAGGTGTTCTTGCGTTTCTGGGTTCCTGATATCACAATTTTTAAACTAAAAATAGAAAACTTGTGAACTACGAGCATTTGTAACGAGACAACATATGTAGGTGACACAAATACATGTTTCACTTTCTTGCATTTCTGTGGTTCTAATGTAGTACTTTTTAAATCAGAAATATTAATCAGGAGAACATAATACATGAGAAAGTGGTCAGGATATATATTTTTTATTACCTCCTTGCATTTCTATGATCCTGATACGAACATTTTTATAAAAGAACAACTTCTATTGGGGAGATATGATATGTGAAATGAAGAAATATGAATTAGGAGAATATACTAAGGTGCATACGATTAATTTTTTATCTCCTTACATTTCGGCCGATATGACAATAATTTTTAAATGAGAATATGTGAAAAATGGTCAGGTAATTCATCTTTTACTTTCTGGGGTTTCTGTGATCCTGATACAAAAAACTTTACAATAGAGACACTTGTTTTCGGAAGATATAATGCATGAAAAGGTGTTCTGGAATTTCGGCGATTCTGATAGTCAAAAATTGATTTAGGACACAATCGTTTTAATACAATGGTAATACTAATGTATTTAAAATATTAAATACATTGATGAAAGTGAAGTGGAAGGAGATAACGTTTTTCCTTTTCGAATTTATGTGCACCTGATACATTTGGATACACAGACAGACAGACCTTTACCTTCTTACGTTTCTGCGATCTTTAGACAACAATTTTCAAAACAGTTTCAAATCAGAAATTTGTTGTACCATGAAAGTATGAATGTACTACGCAATAATTATTTTGCCTCTTTGAGAAAGTTAAATCAGGATAGCAGAACGTACAAGAAGGTGTGAGCGAATACATTTTCGGGATTCGCATACAAAGAATGCCCAGGCAATACATCTTTAAGGCTCATGCGTTTCTGTGATCCTGATACAAAAAAAATTAGAATAGACAAATAATATGCGAGAAGGTGTTCTTGCGTTGCCCGGATCCTGATACCACAATTCTTAATAAAGAATTGTGGAACAGAAGAATGTAATACGTAAAAAGGTGCAAGAGGAATTGTTTTAGCATTTCTGCGATTCCGATACAGAAAAAATTGGAATAGAAAAATTTCTGTTAAGTCAGATGTTCGTGCTCATAACCTCTACGTGTTTTCCTGTGATTTTGATATAAAAAATGGAAATTTGTGTCAGCAGGATTATAATATTTGAAAAAGTAATGCGAGGTGGCACGAAATAAATGTTTTATTTTCTTGTATTTCTGTGATCCTGATACATTTTAAAAGAAATTTTAATCAGGAAAATATAAGTTGGCAATACCTACATTTTTCATCTTTTTACGTTACTTTAATATGAGTACAGGAAGAGATTTGATCCAGGAGTGCAGAAACACGAGAAGGTGTCAGGCGATATATCTCATCAAAAATGTTTAGAAGAGAAATTTGTATCAGGGGATCATAATTTCGAGGTATATTCTTTTCGTCCATGAGAACAATGATCAAGGAAAAGATGGGGTGTAATCAACCGTTAAGGTACAAATTTTGAGGAGGATACGAGTCATTGGTTGCAACGGCCAACACATACAATAGGCAGATAGTGGTTTACGAAGAAGAAGGATGGAACAGGGACCAAAGCGAGAGAACTGAATGGTGAGATGTGAACCTTCTGACAGGAGAGATGAAAAGTGAGGTGCGAGGGGAGGTGTAGAAAGGAGTAGAACGAGATCAGGAACAAAAAGGGGGAAGGGAGATCATCTTGGAGCAGGATCGCCGTCAATACCATGCCTCCGAACAGAAAGCAAGCCATGGACAACCACAGGAGAGCACTCCTGAACCAAAGAAAGAGCTAAGGGAGGGCAGAGATGAAAAAAGCAGAGCCTTTGAACAACATGAGATCAAGGAATTGGCAGAGTTAGCAGAGAACATTGGAACAGAAGGAACAGAGGACACAACGGGAAACCAAAAAATGTGTACCAATGACCCCCCACGATGGAAAAAATGATGGCGATACTAGGAAGATTGGAAAAGGGGAAAATGCTAGGTCAGGATCAAACAAAGAAGGATGTCCGCTCTCCCCAAGGCTCTTCGCGATAGCACTGGATAACGTCATGGAGATAACAAGGAGGACGATCTACTCGTAATCGCGGACAAGATAGAATAGCTCGAGGACTGCGTCCAAATCAGCGAGGAAAACGGCACAAGAAAGAAGATAAGGGAATTACTAGAAGGAAAGACGAAGATGGGGCAGCTGGTATATAAGCAGGAGTAACAATGACCTTAATCTGACGTGCTTCGGAATGGAAAGTAGGCCGACCCTGCTTCACATGGCGGCCTCGGGGAGCAGAGACAGACACAAGATCAAGAAAGAAAGCATACGAGTAATGGAGGTGGAGGAAGAATCAGGCATAGGAAGAAACGGCGACAGAAAGGGAGACAGGGAGAGGACAACAATAAGGAAGGGAGAAACAAGAAAGAAGGAAATTAAATCAAAGGATGGAGGTATCGGAAACTAATGGAACGAAGAGGGAGAGGCTATCACCAATGCAGATATTCCAGTGGCGAAGCTGAGGCCGTACCCTTTCGGGTCGGGCAACACCCAGTTAGCGGCCCCCTCACAACCCAGGAATATGCCAAAGTATCAAGATAATGCTACATCTGTTGTTTCACAGAACCAAGGCAAACAGTCCACTTGAAGTAGTTTACACGTGAAATCTCTTATCTATAATTGCGCCAAGAGCCCTTTATCTGATACGAGAAGCTTTTTTCCTGGTGCCGAGGCATTTTAGATCGTCTGTTCTGCTCTCACTAATTGAATCTATAATGGGAGACGTATAGAATTACCGTCCGAACTGAAAAATTCTCCTCAAGGGTAACTAATCCAATTACGGAATAAATTCTCAGAGTTAATGATAGTACTTACAAGTACGCGCTAATTATAAACGTTAATTATAATTTCACCGGAAGTTATCCGTGCATTATACAACCTGGTAGTCGCGCGGACGCCGAATTGCACATTTGCGGCTTCAATTATTTGCATCGCGCCGCGTGGGTCTTCTCGCCGCGACGTATAATTTTTAAGGACGAAATGAACGGGTAGACGCTCCGTGCGTCACTCTCGCCATTAATAGACGCCTCACGTGTCTAGTCGAAAGAATTGGGTCAGCTGACGACGTTTATTTAAACAACGCGTTCCCGCGTAATTCTCACGTAGGCGCGATTTTTGAAATCGGTGCCCTTTGGACCGTTACAATTTAAAATCTATTCCTATTGCGACCTTAACCTTAGATAGCGTTGAGTGTTTATTATTATTATTATTGGCACCGGTATTTTTATTTTTGATAATATGCCTGAGGTCCGGCTCAATATTCATACCCTAAGTCCATGCCAGACGTTTTTTTTTCTAGGACGACGAAAATAATTAGATAAGTGTCTCGGGACAATTTTCAAAGCGAAAATTGGCGAAAAATGTCGTATTTGCTTACCGTCTTCATTCCATTTTAATTTGCGATATTCCACATCGAGAACTGCATGGCATCGAATCCATTTATTAACTAAAATATTTAACGATTACGTTACATAATTTACACAAATATTTCATGGTTAGAAACGTGGTAATTTATATTTAATTGTCAATAATGCATGAATTTTTATTAAAGAGCTTTTATAACACACGCATTGCCGTCGCAGCGGTTGCCTATTTACTACTGCTTCCCAATTGCTGCTATCGAACTTGGCCGTTTTCTCCGCACAAGCGCCATCTAGCGGGTTTTATCGCAACTTTACGAAAAATCTGCGGGATTCTTTCCTCGTTTGTACCCAATTTTGCGGCATTTACAAACCACCAAGGCAACTTTGTGGTAGCCCTCCCAGCGCTTATGTCTTCACATTTCCATTCGTCTGTCTGTCGTTCCCTAAACCTAGTGTCAACTTCGGGTTTTCGCTATATGAAAGCTTATGATGGGCTCCAGGTACGTGGAACTATCAAAAATTAACTTTGGCATTCGTCACCTTGATCCCCAAAAAACAGTAATTTATGCACCAATTTTGTTGGGATAAGATCAAATCCGATGTATTTTTGGTGACCGAAATATTTTTACCCAAAGGATGTCGGAATCGTTATTTATGCTTTAATTTTCTTGAGAAACTCGATTGCTCAATGCCCATGAATTTCGCGACCAACATATTTTTGGACAAGCATTGTCAAAATCATTATTTATGTAAAAGTTTTCTTGGAAAGAAGACGTATCGACTTTGGGTATATTACCATATGAAAGCGTGTGGGTTAATCCATTTGAAGATTTGTAATTATATAAAATTAATCACTTTATTGCCAAAAATGGATGCACTAATTTTCTTGGGAAAACTTCAAAACTCGATTGCTCAATGTTCGATGCCCAGAAATGATACATGTGTACCATTTATGAACATGCTACATTGTATCACATTAAGCAATTTTCAAAGAGCAGGCAATGCTCGCTCTTCCCCCCTCTGCCTACGGCCCTGAGTGCACAACAGAAGCCCCAAACCAGTGGAAGGAGATGAATAGGATCTATCACTGGCAGAGGGTACCAGGACAACGACAGGACAAATTATTAATTAAGGCCACGTTTCAAAAAGCCAAGGAAGCGTCAGCTCTCAATAGAAATACATGACAAGCTCCGTTTTTCCCTTTAATTTCGTATTAATCAAAACATCACCCCCACAAAGCCATCATACTCATACTTTCACCAATAAGGAGTGCTTGAGGTGTCCCCTCCTCCATAACAAAATTACAACCAATAACATTCTTTATCGCAAAACGACCAGATGTTTCTTAACGCAATGTTCACATGTTATAAACAAATTTATACGAACGATAAAATTTAAACAAGGAATTATGCAATTAAAAACAATTCTAAAATGGAAAAATAGACACTAAAATAACAAATTCTGATGAAATAAACCAATTCTGTGCTTATTCGTAATGAAATCTTCCAGATTTAAATTAAATAAAAGCATTCGCATATACCGGGTGGAGACTTGAGCAAAGCACCATAGGAATTTCAATAGCCATTTTCTCATCTCTGAATATTGGCTTCCCTAATTATTTTAGAGTTCCGATATACCCAATTACTACGTATTTAGTTTTGTCGTTATATTTTACCCTTCATATTAACCACCTTTGCTTGTGATTTAGTTGTTAAGATAAACGAGACTTTGTCCGACGTAAATTTCTAGGATTTTGAGTTGTAAAGTCATTCGAATTTTTGATTTTTTGAGTATTGCAGTTCTACGTATGAGAATAACCCCTCGTGTCAGACGTTATACATTGCTTATGCGATCATTGTACAAACAGTGCAATACTACCCGCGTGCCTATTGCGCACAGTTAGGGCAAAACACGACGTCATGGGAACCAAGAACAATTAAAGTACTTTCCGGAAAGTGGAGTGCAAAATCGAGCAGCAACAGGAACAACCACAACAGAACCAAGGCCCACGTGCAACCCAGGCGAGTGAGTATGTACCGGGTGACCCAATAAGACTGTTCCTCGGCCATATCTCGGGAAGCGTTCATCGTATGACTTAGGGGCAAAAAAATTGTTGGGTAAATCGGTTATGAAGAATCGCTGGAAAATAGGTACTGTCAAGTTCTAAAAATGACCAACAGAGGGCGTAACGCGTAACGCAAGAATTAAAGTCACTAGATATAGAAAGTACCGGCAATCATTCGCCATTTTTGGGCAAATTTGCTGCCAACTTAAAAAAATTGATAAATAAAATCTGAATAGCTGTAATTTTTTATAACCTAACTTCATAGTACTGTCATGTTTTATAAAAATATATGCAGATATCTCCAAACAGGTGGAACAATCCCTAACATTAAAGTTACTAGAATCTGGTAACTTCCGCCATTTTTGGGCAAATATCATGCGTTCTCTCTCTAACACACGAGCCCAATGGATTGCGGTACTTTCTATATTTAGTGACTTTACAAAAGGATAACGGTATCAAATATGTGATTCTGCATTACGGTTAAATCAAGAACAGGGATTGAAACACACACAAAATATAAGATACAGAAATACATTATAAAGATTGACATTGGATCGCATCCGGGCAAGTACAGTACCACCAAAAGGCAGAGAGAAAGATCATTGGGATTTTGCCCCCATGTAACCTACATAGAGATCGCACGAATTTGAAACACCCTATACACACTCCCCCTGAAAGCACACGGTGCACTTAACGCACATGATCATAAAGTCAGATCGCTCATATACTTGCAATATACAATCGAGCAAATACCTAATTAGGTACCTAGTTATTTGATTTCCCCCTCCTTCTGGAAGTGCATGGTGGTTCCCGAAAGATTTTGATCACGCTAAAATAAGTGGAAAGCACCTCCAAAATTCAAAAGTAAGATTTGTGCCGTTTCCTTCACAATTGGGTAGAAAATTATGAAAAAAAAAATCGGATTTCAAAGTAATCATGGGACCGATTTTGAATTATTTTCACAAAAATCGACCACTTCCTGTTTTTGGTCCAATAACGCCGCTCATAACGTCAACATTTGTATTCAATCGCCAATTCATTTGCCGATACAGATCTGCGCTCCATACAAATTGCACGGAATTAAAACTTCATTTAACTTTCCGCCTTGTTAGTTTCCGACATGAAGCTGCACTGGCTGCTCTTGTTGGTAGTTTACGCTCAAAATTTTAAATACGCCGTTAACAAGAGTGTGGCGTCAATTTTGGTAGCTGATCATTAATGAATTTGCTTTTTTTAGTTCACCAGAAATTCAGTTCCAGAAATCTTTGGTCATCGACCGCTTTATGGGAAAATGTCCCCGACACGCCAATCTGCCGATGTATCTGGAAAATATTCACCTCTATCCCACGAACGGCACGTATAATATTTCGGCTAAAATAGTCGTGACCCGCGATTTACTGAGCGATTTGAAAGTATTGCGAATTCAAAGGTCCGGTTTAAAAAACAGTTTTGTTGTAGCTCGTGCTCCAGTTGGAGCGTTGCAAGGCGAAAGAGGACCTTGATTCTTGCGAGCCGTACCAGAACGTCAGCAGGAACAGCCTATGCGAACTGGCCAAAGCGAAGAAGCAAACATGGACGCCGTATATGACCAACATGCAACCAGCGATATCCTGTCCCCCTCTAAAGGTAACCCCGAAACGATCGAACTTTACCGCTCAGTACCATTTTAGGGTACCTACTACTGCTCTCATACCGTTTTCGATGCCACACCCCTGATGATGTTACCGATAAGTGGGTGGTACTGGAAAGTGAAATCGCTCATTTACGAAGCAAAGACAAACAATCCTCCAGTTATGTGCATCTACATTACTGGACAATTTAAGTAGGGCCGTTTGTACTTAGATGAGTAGATTAGTCGTGGTTTAATGCATTACTACGTTACGTCCTCCTGTTTTGGAATTTTTAATAAACATTTAGACTTGACCAGCAGTAATATTCATATAAGCATTGATCATTCTTTTAAACATGTGGAAATTATCGAATTGTTTTGCTGAATTGTTTTTTGGAAACTAACATTTTCGGCGTGAAGAGACGGTCACAGGGGTGGTAAATGTCTGTAACCAAATGAGTTACGACACTCCATGCTGAGACTGCTCTCGATTCTCAGCTATAGGCTGGGAAATCCCGAACGAGGGCTCATGCTACACATCTTTGGGGCAAGATTATGTTAATAAAAACACGGTTTTAAATCTATCTGTGATATATGAGATGCGATTTACTGATTTCCACATATTTTGTTCTAACATTTGAATTTTACCTCCAAGACCATGTAATAACCATTAATTGTGCTACAAAATTTAATATTAATTTGACGGTTGGTTTTTTTCTTGGTAAGTGCCTTTTTTCCCCCGCATATTTTTATGTTTATTCGATGAACTACCATTTTCAAAGTAATTTTTTTATAGAGCTCTCACAATCTTAATAACGATCGCTATTAAGCAAACTTTTCACCGGCATCCACAAAAAAATTGACAATCACTTACTTTATTAATTTTTGTGTTTTTTTACGTTCCTTCCCAACTGTACTTCAGGTCATAGCGTTGTTTACAGTTAAGGTAAGGGGACCCTGCCTTAGATGATCACGTGCCACTTTTCAAATTTAAGCGAGATCTGGTTTTAGTTTTGGAGGGATTAGTAATTCATTTGCTCATTATTGAACGTTGCCGAGCTGACTATATTTCTGTATTCTTGTAGTGTGAAGTTAGCGGGGTTAAGTATACTACAAGGTCATTATCTGATGCAAATTTGCGGCAGCTGAGGTATTTTTTCGATCTTTGACGAAAAGTAGAATAAATGAGATAATTATACGAAACCCCGGTTTGCGATAATAGTGTAGCGACTATTCTAGAAATTTCGGTAGACACCGAGGCACCATCAAAGATTACGCATTCTAGAATATTCGGTAGCCTCATTTTAATGGCTTGAGGAATCTTTAAAACTCTGAAGAGCTTCCATGAGTCTCCAAAGATTTTGAAGGGTCTTTAAGATATTCCTTGGGTCCTCTAAAGATTTTGGGAGTATGTAATTGCCTTTCATAGTCTTTTAAAGAGCCTTTAAACACTGGTTAAGAGATATATTTTGAATAATTTTTAAAGGTTCTCAAAGCTTTCAGAAAATTTCATGAATCTCTAAAAAATGTTAAAGAATGTGTTGTAAACATTTGCCAAGAGCATTAAAGAGTCACAAGCTTTTCTTGTGCTTCCCCCATTCGTTAAAAATCAATACTTTTAGGGTATTTAAAAGTCTAAAGAGCCTGTAAAAACCTTCTAGTTTTAAGGAGTCTCCAAATTGTTTAAGAATCTTTAAGGGCCTCCCTGTTTTCAAAAGTTACTTTTGGAATCTTTAATAAACATTTAGAAGTCAAGAATAGTTATTTACATAAAAGTCAGGAAAATGATACATTACTGGCGAGGAAATATTGAAGGACGAGTACTTTAATTTCCCGAGTCAAGTAATGTCATTTTAGTGACGAGTTTTGTATTAAATTTTATTCGAAATCGTATTGTAATATAAAATTTCAATTTTTATATAGAACTTTTGATTAATGTCAATCTGTCAGTGATGACAGGAGTCATTATAGACATTTGGAAATGTCAAAAATCAGGCCAGTAAAGTGACAAGCGGCAGGAAACGTAGTCTGCTCTGCCTCTGTCATGGAAACTAAAATTTCCTGACAGAAAGTAGGCATGAAAATGGGTCCGTTAACTTGGCCCCCCCACTGAGAGATTTGATAGTCGTATTATTTTGAAATGAATGCGCTCGTTATGCGCTCATATGCGCCACCGATAATAACTCTTGCGCCATTATCGTTTTTTAGAAATCCGAAAAAACATTGGGGGGGGGGCCAAGTGAACGTAGCCCCCCCAGTACGTATTTTGTCCCTTGTAACTAGGTCACCTGATACATTTGGTTATGCGCTCAATTGCGCCACTTGAATTAAAGCTAGCGCCATTACGGTTAAGCCATAAAAAATTTTTAAAAAGTGGAGGGTCTAACTTAGCGTTTTCAAAAGTTATTTCCGGAAGTGCGTCCATTTTGAAAATATTTTACATCGATTCGGCCTTCGGAGTAACTCCTAAATACAAATTTTTAAAAACCTACCTATTTTACTTTCCCAGAATCGTTTAACTAAAGCTCCCAAAAAAACACCCTGTATAGTGTTTCTGAAACACTATAATGGCGCCAAGATTTTTGTTTACGGTGCATTTTAGCGCATGATGAAAGGTACGATGTAGTAGAAAAAACATGTTAAAAAACGTAACTTTTGAAAACGTTAAGTTAGCCCCCCCCACTTTTTAAAAATTTTTTATGGCTTAACCGTAATGACGCTAGCTTTAATTCAAGTGGCGCAATTGAGCTCATAACCAGATGTATCAAGTGGCACAAATACCGGTAGCAAAATGCGTTATGGGGGATTTCGTTCACTTGCCCCCCCCCCTCCAATATATTTAAGGATAACCAAAAAACAATAATGGCGCAAAGATATCTTTTTACGGCGCATTTCAGCGCATACCTGAGAGTACAATTTCGTATGAAAAGATGTTAAAAAAAAGTAACTTTTAAAAACGTTAAGTTGTCCCCCCCACTTTTTGAAAATTTGTCACGGCTTAACCGTAATGGCGCTAGCTTTAATTCAAGTGGCGCAATTGAGCGCATAACCAAATGTATCAGGTGACCTAGTTACAAGGGACAAAATACGTACTGGGGGGGCTACGTTCACTTGGCCCCCCCCAAATGTTTTTTCGGATTTCTAAAAAACGATAATGGCGCAAGAGTTATTATCGGTGGCGCATATGAGCGCATAACGAGCGCATTCATTTCAAAATAATACGACTATGAAATCTGGGGGGGGGGGGGCCAAGTTAACGGACCCCATGAAAATGAAGGTTTCAGGACGATTTTGGGTTAAATATTTTAAAGGCGATTAAGTAGCCTTTTTTATAATTCCTTAAGAGCTAGAATGAGTCCATTACAAAATCGAAGGTTCTCAAATACCCATATCTGAAAGCTTTAAGCTGAGCCTTTAAAGAGTTTCGTTTCGAGTATAAAGGTGGCCGATAATCTCAAAGAGACCCCAAGAACTTTTGAGAGTCTCCAAGACCCTCCTGAATCTGCACATCCGGAACAAAGCGTTTGTTCTGAGCTCTTAAAGGTTAATAAATACTTGAAAGACCTTAAAACAGACAGTGTGTTCCGGATGTGAATTTTCCGATAGCGAATATTCTCTGAACAAAGATATACAGCGTGCTGGTTTATCAAGAGCGAATATTCCAAACGTTAAGAGCTTTGGAGGAAGGGAGTCGGAAGGGGTTGCTCTCCCTTCCCTAGGAAATTCCGGCGTAATCCCAATTGCGAGGCGTTATTGGGTGGAGGGTTGTCTAATAACAGTCCGCGAATTCTGTAACCGGTCCGTGTAAAGTACACCTAGGAAACTTGATCTCATTTCCACATTAATGTTTTTGGGAAGGAATGTGGTTTAAATATTTGCTTTGCAGGATTGTTTCGCTTCAACCTCAGATTGTGTTCTTTGAGAGCAAAGGCGATATTTTAAAGAAAATAAGAACCATTTCAATTTTTAATAAATATTATTGACCCTTTACCCCTGTTCCTTAAGAGGCAGAGCATTATTAGGCGATGAGCAGTCGGGGCGTATTCATACACAAGAACCACCCCCAACCAGAAGTGGGAGAAGTAAATCCGTTACACTTGCCTCCCAGATCCCCGGTGATTCGCTCACTTTTAGACGTGTTTGTACTCCCATAATTTTTGGGATTGCCCGCTGAAAGCTCCAAACGTACACGTATTCACCGGGGCCTCCAATTGACAAGTTCACGAAAGAGCACAACGGAGCTGAAATTTTTGAGAAAGAACGTACCACCCAAGGATAGTTAAAGGGAAAGGGATTTTGGATATTTCTACGGGGACAGGAAGATTCGACTTATATGGCCCTCCAGGGCTTTCGTACGTAACTATAATATATTCTCCAAAAGGGATTGCACTTTGAGATTTCTAAAATCGCGCTGATATTGATTTTGCGATCTCAGCGCCACCTATACTCGACTGGTGCGACTATATAAGAGAAATCGATTTGTATAGTGTAGAATGCCAGCAAGCGGATTAAAAGGGTAGGAAACAACTTGCGCTTAACAATCGTAGATGTCTCCACTATACAGATCCTTTTGTTTAATTCTTTCCGCTCCAGTTGCTTGATTAAAAGCTATAAATGAGTAGTGTACTATGACTTCTGGCAAAATTGTTGGCAATTTTAAAATATTATAATTACATCCGCGTTTCCAATTTACATTACAGCAACAGAGATCCTCCCATCTCGCTCTCTTAATTATTGAAATGGATAAAACCCTTTTACGCCAATTTTGGTTCTTTCCCATCGTTTCAATGGCTTAATACGCTAATGCGCATCGGGGAATAGGCAATTAGAGTAAAACGCCATTAGTTAAGGTGTTGTTTTTCTGAATTTTGCAGGTTTTTCCAGTACGGGACGCATGAAAATATTAACTTTCTGTTAATGGCGAGTTTTATATGATTTTAAGTTAGAAATTAACTATCATAATACAAATTTGAAACAACCGCCCGAACAAAAACTTGGAACACGATTGATGGTCAAGTGTTTTTAAACACAAAAGAATTTTAAAATATACTAGGTGCTCCATTAAAAAAAATTGGGCAGGTTTTTAAGTGAAATTTACTTGAACATGCAATTAACTTCTAATTACAAATAAATATCACAATAGATCATTCAATTTCTACCGCACTCGTATAACTGTACAACTCGCCGACATTCCCTCGCGTCGATTATGCTATTTTT